CCCCCCCTCTCCCACCTAAAATCCATATATAAATATCATTATTTTTCATTTTTCACATTTCAAAAACTTGAAACTCTCTCTCCCTTTATCTCTAAAACTCAAGAGACTCTCAAATATCACCTTCTTCAACCTTTTAACTCCAGCCAATTTCTTCATATTTCTCCATCAAAATAGCAAAGATTTTGAAGATATTGCATCATTCCCATCATCAATCAAGGTAACAACTTCATCTCCACTATTTTCTTGCAAACTTTGGGGGAAAACCTATTTTTCTTGCATTTTAAACTACCTTCTTCTAACCTCCGAAAATTATGAGTTTTAAGGAGAGATTACACACCAAAAACATGTAAAAATGTTCATATGATGGTGGTAATCTATGACCCCAACATTAGAACTCAAGAAAATAGGTAAAATCATGTTGCATGTGGGTTTGATTCCTAAAAAAATGGCATTTTAAGTGCTGACATATTTCATGCATGTGCATAAATCGTCCATTTCTTGCAAATAATATGTTCTAATGTCATGAATCTTCTTCTAAAAGTTCATTTATTGAGTTGGGGTTGTAATCCAATTGGTCTCACTCAAAAACATTGAGTTTTGACTCCCCAAATACTCAAAACAAGATGCGTGTGCATCTGGGAGTTTTTCAGTTGGTAAACCCTACTTTAAACAACCATAACTCTCTAAATAATTATCCAAAATCATTGATTTTTCTTCTGGAAGTTAATTTAATGAGTTACCTTTCAAATTCCACTGATTTCATTCAAAAATATGGTGATTTGAAGTTTCAACTACTCAAAACAAAAGGAGTATGCAATCTGTCCAAAACTGACAAATTTGTATATGCATGTTCTAATGACCATATCTCTTAAACACAATGAAAAAGGATGATTCTTCCTTTAAGAGTTAACTATATGAGTTATCTTCTGCATGCAAGTGGAATCACATGAAAATATGGAGTTTTGACCTCCAAACACMTAAAACACTTTAGGTGTGAAAACTGTGAAACCATCAGTAGGTAACTCCTACTTTGTGTGTTAATATCTCTTTTATTACTTGCTCTTAGTACATTATTCTTCTTCTAAAATATTCTTTTATGAGTTAGGGTTCATATGAACCTAGTTTCACTCAAAAATATGAAGTTATGAGACATTAACCAATTTATTAAAGTTAAGTGTGCAATCTGTCAACTAATGACAGATGGGTGCATGTAACTTTATGGTGCCATATCTTCCTCTTAACTCATCCAAAATGTACGCGTACTTGTTTGGGGCGGTAGGAGCTTTGGTGATGATGATAGGGATATTGATTAGGGTGTTAATGCGTTAGGGAACTCCCGTTATTTTGAAACTTTTGGGTGGATGATACCTTCTTTTGGGGATTGTAGCCTATATGTTTAAATTTAAGCAATTTAATATCTTTTGGGTTGTATTTTAAAACTTATGTTTGGTTTGCTTTGGCTATTTATGAAATTTATGCATGTTATCTATTTGTCGCATGTTGTTTTGGAATATATGTTTTCATGAATAATGTTAGATGTATGTTATAGGATACATATGATTTAGTAAGTAGATTTATTATGGCCATAGTAACATAAGTTGACCAAAACCCAATTTAAAATTGTGTTTTAGAACAATGCCTTCGAGAAGGGATGATTCCGAAGTTGCACGACTTGTATCCGAGCAACTCATGGCTGCACTTCCAAACATTGTTAGCCAAGTGGCAGCTGGCCTGAATAATAATCAAAACAACAATCAAGGATCGGGAAATAGAGAATGTACGTACAAATCCTTTAGAAGTTGTAATCCGAAGGAATTTCACGGGACTGAGGGAACCGTGGGATTACTGACTTGGTTAGATAGCATGGAGTATGTGCTCCATATTAGCGAATGTACCGAAGGGAAGAAAGTAGAGTTTGATGCATGTCTATTACAAGGACGAGTATTAACTTGGTGGAATACCCAAGTACAAACTCGGGGCCGAGAAGCCGCCAACGGTCTTACGTGGGAAGATTTTAAGAGAATGATGAAAGAAGAGTATTGTCCAAGGAGCGAGATCCAGAAACTGGAAGCAGAATTATGGAATCATGAAATGAGAGGAAATGATATAGACTCTTATACTGAACGTTTTCATGAATTGGCAAAAATGGTACCGCATCTAGTGACGCCTGAAAAGAATCGAGTTGATAGATATATTTGGGGATTATCTTCGGTGATACGCGGGGATGTTACTGCGGCAAACCCAAAAACCCTACAAGAGGCAGTAAGTTCGGCAACCAAGCTCACCAACAATGCTACTCGTTCGGGAATGTTTGTAAAAGATAAGGCTTCAGGGAAGAGAACGATGGAGGAACCTACACGAAGGCAGTCTGGGGGAAGAATGGGAAAGGCTCTGAAAATATCAGGAAACTATGGGATTCAGACTCAATCAGCAGAGAAGGAGAAAAGAACTTATCCAAGGTGTGAGAAGTGCAATAAGCAGCATGCCGGACGATGTATTATCTGTCAAAAATGCAACAAAGGAGGTCACTATGCCAAAGATTGCAGGAGCACAGGAAGGCGGGCATGTTTCGAGTGTGGAATCCCATATCATTTTCGGAATGCATGTCCACGATGGAACCAGAGACCGACACTAACCAAGCACGACCAGCTAACCAAGGAAATCAAGGAGGTCCGACAAGAGGCTGAGTGTTTGAGATTGGAGTTGAGGAAGCAAGGCAGAATCCAGATGTAGTTACAAGTATGTTTCTCTTAAAATTATCATTACGTATCTGTACTATTTGATTCTGGAGCGGATAGGAGTTTTGTGTCATTAGATTTTAGACCAAAAATAAATCTAAGACCTCAAAAGTTGAAAGAAGTATACATCATTGAATATGCCAACGGTCAAGAGTGTAAGGCCAAAGACGTAATAATGGATTGCACTTTAAACTTGACTAGTAGGGATTTTCGTATAGATTTAATCCCGATTCAACTAGGAAGTTTTGACATAATTATGGGCATGGATTGGTTATCCAAGAACCGAGCTGAAATTAGTTGTTTCGAGAAGATCGTTCGAATTCCGTTACCCGAAGGGGGAATACTCGAAGTACACGGAGAGAAACCCAGAAGGGGTATTAAAATAATGACGTGTTTAAAGATGCGAAAGTATTTGAGAAAGGACTGCATTGCCTTTCTAGCTCACGTTATGGATAAGAAAGCTGAAGAAAAACGCGTTCAAGATATTCCTATAATTCGGGACTTTCCCGAAGTATTCCCAGATGAATTGCCTGGAATACCCCCACCGAGACAAGTTGAGTTCCACATAGAACTAATTCCTGGGGCTGCACCTGTGGCAAAAGCACCATATCGGTTAGCACCATCTGAGATGAAGGAGCTGTCGGAACAACTTCAGGAATTACTCAATAAAGGATTCATCAGACCTAACTCTTCATCTTGGGGAGCTCCAGTTTTGTTTGCTAAAAAGAAGGATGGATCTTTTCGAATGTGTATTGATTATAGAGAACTCAA